GATCATTATGGGCTGAGAGGTTAAGTGTAAGGCCATTTAGGATAATACCTGATGGGCTAATCTTGCACCTGTACACAGTCTCTGGGTTTTTATAAGATGGCTTGGCCCAGGGACCACTTAATGTAAGTGTTGGGCCCATAGGGTCCATATGATGGGCTTAGGGGTTCATTGGGCTTCTCAGTGAATTCGGTTAGGCCTTGTAATAAAGGCTGGGTCAAACCCATGTGGTTGGTGTGTAGATCAATGCTTGGGTCCCACGCCATACAAAGAATCCCAACTGGGCAGCAGATTGGAAACTAATTAAGCACTGATTATTTAATGGGCCAAAAGCCCATTTCGAACTGGGCTGATATGATCACCCACTTTACGGGCGGATCTGAGATTAAGGTTAGCAAAAGGATTGGGCCTTTAACCTAATCCACTCTGGGAGACTAAATTCAAATCAGATTTGAATATGGTAATCTCTTGATAAGATCAGGAGTTATCTAACCTAATCTGCAGATAGGATTAAGATCATCCCCATCTAGATGCTGATTTCGATTGGGATAACTCCTAATTAGGAGATTTCTTAATCAAGAAGAAAATAGGAGAAACCCTAAGAGAGAGACAAGAGAATTCGAACCTAGGGTTTTTGAGCAAGAAATCATCCTACGAATTGAGATAGGATCTCATACACATTCCAGAGAGAAGAGAAGCATTTTTCGCCATCTTCATCTTAAGAATTCTCCTCCAGCCGCCGCCATTCTCTGAAAAGATTCGATCTTTGAAGAAAAGAAATCAAGAAATCAGTTCTTGATATCAAAGAACTAAAAAGGTTCGGTGCTCAGTGTTCCAGAGGATTCTTTTGAAGGATTCAGTGTGTGGGACGCACTCTGCTGGTTCCGTTCCACATATTGCTGTGTCATCTTCAGCAAGAGCGGATCTTGGTGTCATCTTTGGGCGTGAACACCAACTTTGGGAGATATTGTTTCTCTGGATCAGGTATAATTCCTTCATTGTCTTTTGGTTCAGATCTGGTTCGATTATGGTTCAGGTAGGATCCTTGAATATTGTATTCTAAATTTAGGGAATATGATTCCCAGTTGGAAGAAGGTAGGAAATTTTTGAAATTCGCCCACCCATTCCGCAACCTTTTTGGCATCCATACAATGGATCCTACCATTCTTTCAGTGGTATCAGAGCCACAGGTTCGAATCTTAAACCAAGAAAATCATATCTGAACCTGCGCAGATGGGCAGAAGTTGTTTTACCATGATTTGCGCAGATTATTTTCTTTTTCCAAGAAATTGTTTCTTGTTGAGGGCGATTGATCTGAAATTAATTTTAATAAATCTAAAATTTATTTAGAACTATTCTTTATTTATTTTTGATTTAATGAATTCTTCGAACCTGGAGATCGAAATGCAGATTTGGCACAGATGGTCTGCGCAATTCTTCTTTTTATTATTCATTCAATTCGGTCTGTAAAATATTTTATTTTATTTTATTCTAGACTGAATGTATAGGATTTGATCAAGAATGTAATTAATTAATAGAAATAGGATTTCTGTAATTTTTTATTTTCTTGATTGAAGAAAAAGCTGGAGATTTGCAGATGGAGAGATCATTTTCTACGATTTGCAGTTCATAAAACTGCAACCCTAGTAATTAACCTCTGTTTTGCAGGGGGTGCGAACAGTCCATATTTGATTTATGTTTGTCTAAAATCAAATTATTAATTTCAGATCTTTCATGAATTAACTCTTGAATTGAAAATCAGTTTCGGACAATTTCGGACTAGATTGGACCAAAACTGTTTGAACCGAATATAGGGTTCGAAGGGAACTGTTTTCAATCCAATTTTTCTCACATTTGCTGTTCCAAATCTGATGTTCAATTGCAGGGATTAATTCGGCCCACCTGTACAGCCCAGTTTTAAAGGGTTAAAACTGCAAAAGCCCACTCTTGTGAGAAAAGCTATATGGGCCGAACTGCTAACTGCGATTCAGCCCATATACCTAGACAACATTAATAGTTAATGTTATGTTTTAAATGGGCTGGTTAATGGGCTTTACAGTAATTATTTTGATTGGATCAATTTCTACCATTGCATGTGATGTGTGGATGTATGATGTGATGCGACATGGGCCATAAGAACTTGGCCCATGATGACTCGTTAGTGGCTCTTGCGAACACCATGGCTGAATGCACATCATTGCCTTGGTGTCCCATAAGGTCATTGGATGACCCCTCCTTACTTGGTGGGCCCTACAACCCTGAAAAGGTACGCGTGCGGAAACCCTAGTC